CTTCCTCTCTGAAATCAATGGAAATGTGATTTTAAAAAAGAACAAAGAGACTAGATTTTCCTAATAAGCAAGGCATATTATAAAATTACGGATTTCATTAGAATACAAAGTCTAAAAACAGACACATATTCATGGACTTTTAGTCTATGATAAATGTGGCATCTAACAGACAAAGGATAAGTGATTAAATTAGTGGAGTTGGCTGGCTTATATGGAAAAAATATATAAATAAGCCCTGTCCTCCTACTATCTATATAAATAAATGTCTGATTCATTAAAAAATCTACAACTACACCAGAAGGCAGATAAAATATTATGCTTGTGATCTTTGAGATAGGAAAACCCCATCTTAATAGACAGAAGACAAACCAAAAATCCCCTCAAATTAGATTACATAAAAACTCATTTTAAAACTTTGTATTAGAAGAGACCCCTGAAACAGGACAAACAACAGGAAGAGAGAATATATTTACAACATGTAAAACGAAAGTATTCATATAGTCAGGATTTATAAGGAGTTCTTATGTACCAATAAGAAAAAGAAATAAACCCAAAGTAAGACCAGTTAATTTTCAGAAGTAATAAAATGTTCAATAAACATATCGAAAAAATAATCGATGTCTAAGAAATCAAGACTATTCAAAATAAAACAAGAGATATTAAATTGATAAAACTGTCCAAGTTCAGCAAAATCACGTGTGGCAAGGGTGTGGATATTCTCAAACACTGCTGGCCAGAACTTAAATTTGTATAGCAACTTTAGAAAGCAATTTGACAGTATTTATTAAAAGTAAAGTATGCATACCCTATGATTCCACCTTTCCACTTTCAAATACTGCATTTATTCTAGAGAAACTGGCATATGTGGATGTTCATTTAGCCAGTTTATAACATCAAAAGATTGGAAATTATTTTTGCATAGCTAGGTCAACCGTAGTATAGTTATACAAAGGAAATGCTATTAGGCTAAATCTTTAAGACATTGCTGAGGGTTTGGGTTTGTAAATTGAAGACAGTTATGTGAGACATTTAAAAAAGTAAGATTTTTCCCACGAGGACCTACGATCCATGTAAATGCAAAGAAAAAGAATTTAAAGCATACACATCAGATTGATAATAATGGGAAGTTACCTCTTGCAAAAAGAAATGGGACCGAGGATATCCTCACTAGAACTTCTTTAAAAGAGCACGGAAAATGTGCTTATTCGTGAATTTAACTTTTCCTAATGAGGAACATCGAAAGAAAAGAAAAAAGGACCCATTGTCAGCATGTTGCTTTGTGGTGGAGAACACTGTGCGGTTTGCAGGCGTGGACTCAGCAGTCGTTTGCGCAGACAAAAGGTAGCTGGAACCCCGGAGCAGGCGCGATGGCCCGGGGTGGAGCAGGAGGAGGAGCCCGAGGAGCAGGGAAGGAAGCGGGAAGGAGGAGGAGGAGGAGGAGGAGGATGCGTTGCTACAGAGGCGCGTCTTCCCCAGTTTGTAGCATCATAAGCAGAAACCCTGTTAGGTGACACGGAGACAAAGTAACGCTCTTGCAAGCGCCGT